ATTAAAAAAATAATCAATCAAACAAGACCTTGAATTTGGGTAATTTCAACATTGTGATTACTGAACCAGGCAACGAAAGTATTTGATCAATGAAGCTTATTTGATAAACAGATCGATATTACGTCATTAATATTAATTATTTTTAATATGTTATTATATGCTATTATTATTATTATTATTATATAGATTCAAATCAGCCAAGTAGGTCTATGGTGAAATTATATTATAATCATTGTATAATCAATAGGCCTTAGTACGCCTAAGTGTGTTCTAGAAAACATAATGAGGAAAAGAAAAATGTGGGTCAGATATTCGTTCTAATTCTAGATATAAGACTATAGACAAGTTATATTTTCCAACAAATATCAAATTCTAAATAATTATTGTTGTTCTACAATTATCAATACAGCTATATAATATCACTGTATGTTGATATCCTAATGTCTAATAATCATATTATATAGGCCTATGTTGTACTACTAATCTGGGATGTCATAATATATAATTGATTAATATACATACGGAATCTCTATAGCAAAGTATTCCGATAGCATGCGTGTCGATAATACGCAATTTTATATCGATTTTTACACTAATGTGCCAGGAAAGAAAGAAAAGGCAACATGGAAAAAACAGATAAATATAGCCTATTGTTGCCTTTAAATGCAAGCTGCCTTACTAAAAATTTACAACACTGTAATCCTTTCATTTATAAGGATCAGGAGAGTATACTCCTGTGTGGTACCGTATCAACTACTAATTATGAGATTCGTATTGTACGATTATGGAAGTTAAAGATGTATTGTCACCTGAAAATGACAACAAATCATACAAACTAATTTTGAAATTATGTTGCTCATTTTGCAGTAACATACAAATTATTAACTTAAGCATAGAAATTATTAAATTGTAAAAAAATTGTACCGTAATTTTTATACTGGATAATGATGATGAAAAATAATAAAACACGTCCAGTGACTGGAAGTGTTTCTATCATTTTCGCTGTAGAATTATGGGTAAATATATTTTAAAAACACTAATTTCTAAGTTCAAGTTCATAACTTGGTCTCCAAAAAGACCAAGTTAATATAAACACTTTTTGGTAATTTTTGCATGGGACAATACTTTTTTAAAGATACTTGCTATCAAATTTCTGTTACATTAAGGCTTTCATTATATTATTATTATTATCATTATTATTATTATTTTCATTATTATTTTCATTATTATTATTATCATCATCCTCATTATTATCATTATAATTAATATTAAGATAATAATGATTCATAAAGCAAATAGTAGTCTTATCATAGTGGAAATTTTAATACTTTTTCATGCAACCTTCGTATAATTTCCACTAGTGTATTATACGCAACTCTACTAATTGCTTATTATTTTATAATTATCAATATTATTATCATTCTTATGGGCCTATTATTATTATTATTATTATTAGAATTATTATCGTTATTGTTATCTTTATCGTTGTCACATTCGCTGTTGCGATTATCACCATCACCACTATCATCATCATCAAGCAATCATCATCACCATCATAGGTCTATCTATTATGTTCAATTCATGTATTATTATTATTATTATTATTATTATTATTATTATTATTATTATTATTATTATTATTATTATTATTATTGTTGTTGTTGTTGTTGGTGGTGATGGTGGTGGTGATGTTGTTGCTGTTAATATCGCTGTTAATAACTTTTTGACTAAGCGGGTAGGCCTGAGCGCCTTAGTGCTGTCATTAAATTGTAAATTATATCTGTTCGTGTACCTATTGTTGTTTATGCTCCAACTTCATCATTACAATCATCAAGGTATGCGTTTTATCAGGCATGGTGATCTGTTAATGAGAACAATGACACTACAAACCCTTCTTTTTCATGTGGCATCCACATTTTCTATAAGCGATGGAATACACAATACGATATGTTTGATAATTATGTATAACTGAAAAAAGAAAATCATTCTGCCTCATCAGAACATCGTGGTATTTTTTAAATTTGAACTTTCTTTTTTTTCTTTCTTTCAATTTTTAAAAAAATAATCTTTAGGAGGGTGTGGGGTGAAGCCGGGGCCGGCTGGCCCCTTGAATCCGCAACTGGTCTTCAAAACAACTACATGGAAAAGTCACCTGGCGAACTTGTTGAATTTAGAAATTGCTGATTACCTAAAAAAGTATAAATTTCAATTCATGAAACAAAGGTGGTATCTTAACATCATGCATTTTGATGATAAATGCAAAAAGATAAGTTCGAAACTAAAGCGCCCTGGGCCTACCTGTCTTTTTGTTGGCAATGACACTTCAGAATGAAATAGACCTAATGAAATCTCGTAAATTTTCATTTAGAGTAGAAACAATAATGGATTCAATGTCTAGGAGCAATAACTTGGCGGGTTTTGATACTTTCTACGAATTGCAAGCAATATTTAAGGTGCTATAAACTAAACATTAATTATACCTTTTGTCTGATTGACGTCGTAATGAAGTAATTAAAAAGGACAGGAGGCAGCTAAACTTCAATTAAGATGAGTTAATGGTGACAGATCTAAGAATAATGCAATTCATGTTAATAATCTTGTACACTATGTGAAACGGGAACTGAAAGATGTGGGGGAGTTAATGGTAGAGATTCTTGTGTTGCTAATATCGTATTTAACTAACTCGCTTATGCCAGAAAGGCATTTAGTTCCATTCATGGTATGTAACTGTACGGTTTACTGGTTTACTAGCAATACACTCTTTCAGGTTTCTTGTTGAAATATCTATTATTATTATTATTATTATTAAACATATTATTTGTTTATGCGAGACCTTTTGCAATCCTTCAATGGGTTACCGCCTTCTCTGTACACATTACTGTCTATATTAGAAAACAGGAACAAAGCCGAAAACCTACTAAAATACCTAAAAAATATATTGGAGCTATTACGTTACAGCCCCAGAGGACATACAACGGAAATAATAATTTAAAAAAAACAAGCAGGGTGGGGTATGAAATGGGAGGCTCTTCATAATGCGAGCAGGCAGTTCACTCCGACCTCGGCACGGGCGGTTCTGACTCTTTTTCGTGGCTCACGGAGACCAACAGGAACCTGTAGGAGATTCAATTAGGGTCCTAAATGCTTCACTTTCTCCCATCTCACAGAAGGCTTATAAGCAAAGCTGGAATATTTTTTTTATCTGGGAGAGGTAAAACAAAATCCGATCTCCGAGACTGTGTAATTGTATAGGCTATAGATCTTCGAGAAAAACTATGCACCAAAAGCTATTGCTTCTCATATTTCTGCAATTGGGTTTTACCACTCGGTTGCCTGTAATCATGAACAATCTCAGACGTCTGGTGGCTTCACTTGAGTCAGTTGTCAACCTTCATTGAACTAGAAAACATCTTCGCGCTTTCTTTCTTATAGCATTTCAGGGCTCCTTCGGGGTGAGTGAACTGGCCACAAAAACCCCTCCCGATATAAAATGATATAGTTTTCGGATAGGGAAAGCGAAACATGCAGCTACGCTTTGGTTTGAGGAAAATGCTATTCAAACACTGTTCAGGGTTACATTCGTATACAATCCTTTTAGAATTTAGCGACTCTGGCCCATCGATTGTATTTTCAACTTTCACTTCTTTTAAAATCTCATCTTATTTAAAACCATTTTTTTTATAACGTCCTGTAGAAATAGGTTTGACAGAAGTTGTCTGAAAAGATATTACACCACTAGAAAAATTTTGATATGGTTAATATTACTACTACTACTACTACTACTACTACTACTACTACTACTGCTACTGCTATTACTATTGCTACTGCTACTGCTACTGCTACTGCTGCTACTATTACTACTACTACCACTACTACTAGGCCCCTACTACTACTACTACTGCTACTACTACTACTACTACTACTACTACTACTACTACTACTACTACCACTACTACTACTACTACTGCTGCTGCTGCTGCTGCTACTACTACTACTACCACCACTACTACTACTACTACTACTACTGCTGCTACTACTACTACTACTACTACTACTGCTGCTGCTGCTGCTACTACTACTACTACTACTCCATGCGTTTCACGTTTACAAATCCGTGGATATACATACTATTTTCCAAGAAATCACGTTGTATTGTCTCCTGTGTTTTATTGCGTTGTATCAGCTTGTTTATACAACCTTTTGAGCTTATTATTTGCTTTTCATTATTAAAGTATACATATACACAATTTATAAGGTAATGACATATATATTTTATAGAAGTTTGATATGCGCTATATAAGTATACAATAATAATAATAATATTAATACGGCGTAACGGTATAATGAAAACTGAGATACGTAAAATGTTGATATCGTATTAGAAACACGAAAATTCATTGCAACGAATATTTCGACTACGCCTGTAGTCTTTGTCAACTCTTGACTATATATATATATATATTTCACACACACACACACATATATATATATATAATATATATATATATATAATATATATATATATATATATATATATATATACAGTATATATTAAAACGGAACGTAAATTGAAACGTAACATAAAATATATGTGGCAAAGAAACACTTATCCTCCACCCCGGGACTCAAACCCGGACCTTTTGCATGCATGGCGAACGTCATAACCACTTAACCATGAACGCGTCGTGGTGATCCAAGCGCCTGTAGAATTTGAGTTCGTTTCATTCTGTTTACGTGTCTGACTTCACAATTTTGATTGATCACTAATATCTCATGTGGCTAGACTGTCAGAAATCAAAGTGATACGCCCTTCCTGGATCTCGAGGAAGATATTTGTATAATGTGATATTATGACATATTGGACAACCCAGAAACGGCAAGCGCATAATGCAAATCAGAAGAGGGTAGTTAGAGGGCCTACATTTTTTTTAAACATGTACCTTAACTGTGATCAATATTTTAATAATAGTATTGGTGATAGTAACAATGATTGTATTTACCCTTGATCCATGAGTGGAGCTTTTTCCCGACATTCCAGATGCAGAATTTCCTGACATTGTCCTTCGAACAGACGATCTTTTACTAGAGGTGCCATCAGGACTCAGGCCTCCTTCGTTTGCCCGACGATCTCGCTGTTCCTTTTTCTCTCTCAAAGACTTGTTTCGAAACATGTCTATTCAAAGTTACATCTGAAGAAAATGTAAACATTAAGTAAAATATTTAATCTATATAGATTTCAACGAAATCGAATATCGCATAATGTCGCATAACCTGACCTGTTTTTTTTTTTTTATTACTTTATGGAAAATTACCAAAACAATAGGAGCCGACAACTTCATTGAGTATACTTACTGTTGACATAATCACGCACACTAGTCCCCTATTTAATATTTCATTGTCGATTTATTGCTATAAAATATTTGTATGTAGGCCTATATTCTTAAGAATGAAGTGTTTAATCGAGGACTTTTTAAAAGTTTATTTCTACCTCCGCCTACGAACAAAAACCAGCTACATGTTAATGTAGCGTCTAAGTGTTGTGTTTTTCCTACAACCATCTAAACGTTTACAATAAGAAAAAAACCACGATATTGAAAATGATAGAGTAGGTTTGATAATATTTGTAAATAATACCATGGATGTATTACATTCCGAATTAAAATAAGGCAAGTGCGGCCATGATGTGTTTACATTTGACACAATAAACTGGTTGTTGGTGAAAACAAAGTAAATGTTGCAAGAACTAATAGTTTTTCGTTGCTGAATAGTGGACATTATTCCATAATGTAGGGCAATGGTTAGATGACTAGATATTTATGCATTTCTGTATGATATTCCATGTAATTAGTGATGAACAGTGATAAAGTTTTTTTCCTCAATCAATTTACTTCTTCCTGCAGCTGAAATCAAACGAATTAACACCGTTAATTCTCTGGTTATAAAACAAATTCAACAAATAAATACCTTCCGTTTTCTTTTCCAAATCAACGAATAAGTGCCATTCGGTCCAAATCAAACGAATGAACACACTGATTATTCCGCGAATTTAAATAAATGAATAAACAACATCTTGCTTTTGGTTAAAATCAAACGATTGTCCTCAAATCATACAAATACATGTCATTCGTCTTGGTTAAATGAAATAAAGGTTCACCAACTCTTCAAGGCAGAAGACGATACAATAATAACAGTCAAGTACCGTACTCGCGCGAATAACCGCCCCTCCTAACGTGAAAATTCCCTTAAGCGCCCCGTTTGAATAAGCGCCCTCTTAATTTGAATAATATCATAATATTTTCTTTTTAGCATGTCAATAACCCCATTAATCCTGGGACTGTTGTTGTTGGCATAATTGAGCTACAGAGTGGAAACACATTCTTCTTAGGTCAATATCAAAATGAGGATATTTCTCTTGGACAGATGAGAGCTCCGATCCCTGGACAGACAGTATATTTCCAACTTTACTCTTTTTACATAGGCCTATTTGTCTATGCCTAGTCCTACTCCTCTTTTTCTTTTCCGACAATTTGCACCTTTAGCACATTCTCATCTGAGTTTTAAAATAAAAAATACAATGATCCTGCCATCCTGCTAATCTCAATCGGCCGATGGCAAACAAGCTAACCACTACTCACCACTACTATTTGCATCTGCTACGGTATTTTGTTGTTATGTAAATATTCACGCATTCTTGTCATGAGCCATGTTCTCTGGACGATTATCTTTTCTAACCACCATTCGTAATGTCCTTATATAATCTTTTTTCATTCAAAAATTACCTCTTGAATTTAATAATTTCCCATAAGAACCCTTCGATTTTCATCTATGTCCATAAGCGCCCCCTCAATTTCTACTCTGTTTTTCATAAGCGCCCCGTTTGAATAAGCACCCCTCAGAAAGTGTAAAAAAATATTTTAAGCGCTTAAGCGAGTAGGGTAGGCAGTGATGTCAGGAAAAGGGCCAAAGTTCTACTCTATTAGTTACCATTAATTGCCCAATCGTCGTCTGGATTTATATAAATCTACCATGAGAAAAACAATGTTTTAAAAATCGACATCGAGAGGTTTCGCAGGCGAACGTGTACACATACGTTTAGCTATCCGTTCGTCGCCATTATGTGTTTTTCGCAATCACAGCGCGCAATTCAAGCGTAGCTAGCCTAGTCCTAGGTCCTTAGCTTAGGCCTACTAGGCCTATACTCTGTTCTCTTCTCTTATCAAGCTTCTCACAGTTTTATTAGTAATGTAAGGTTTTTGAAATTGAAATTAAAAAATGTAAACGAAAAATATTTCCTTTGTTGCCCAGAAGTGTTTTTTTTTTATAATAGGCCCTATTGTTTATGTACCGTTGTCGTGCATTCGAAAGCTCCCTAAAATTTGGGACAGGCCCCATCATTTTTTTTGTTTGCCGGGCAAGGATTACTCCCATAAGCAGTGGCGGCGCCAGCGGGGTGGCAAGGGGGGGGGGCTTAAGTCCCCCACCAGACAGGTCAAGTCCCCCCGCCGGACAGAGCTCGTCGGGCAGTCAGACCATAAAACATATAAAAATAGGCCCACACCAAGCCAACACATGACTGTCACAGTCTGAGAGTGCCATTTTTGCTCATCCAGAGGTTGGTATTCTTAAAAAATTTCATTTGGGAAGGGTACCCCTCTCAACCCTTTCCTCCACCTCGAGCCTACGAGCTCAAGTCCCCCTCCCCTGTCAGACAACTTAGCCCCCCAGAAAATATATCCTAGAGCCGCCACTGCATAGGGCCTATATTTTTTACACTTACGTAAAATGTGAAAAGCGAAGATCCTAATAGAAATCTAAAATTTCCCTACGCGTTTTTCACTTACGTGTAATAAGCGAGATATGCGTGTTGTCCACACGTTTAGCGGATAGCAGCCTGTGTATGACGTCAAAATAATGACGTATCCGTCACACTAACCGTACGCGTTCGTGTGCGAAAACTTTCCTATTAACGCTACAAAATCTACATTTTATAACCTACCCATTTGGAAATCGATTCCTCTGAAGATAACTATGAAGTAAGGAATTCATATCGCTCTCTATTGAATAACCTAATCATTTATTTTTAATTAGCTTACCTTATCTGTTGATATTTTTATGACCTTTGCTCTCATATTTCGCTGGTGCGAGAACATGAAACTTAAAACATTAAAAAAAATCAGACGTTTTGTAAAGGAATACAATTACACTTTTTTTTTCATATTTAGACATGGTACGGTAGTCACAAGTTTAATTTTCTTAAATTATTATAGGCCTATTGTTAATACTATTGCAAATCGTATGAATAACCTAATCATTTATTTTTAATTAGCTTACCTTATCTGTTGATATTTTTATGACCTTTGCTCTCATATTTCGCTGGTGCGAGAACATGAAACTTAAAACATTAAAAAAAATCAGACGTTTTGTAAAGGAATACAATTACACTTTTTTTTTTTCATATTTAGACATGGTACGGTAGTCACAAGTTTAATTTTCTTAAATTATTATAGGCCTATTGTTAATACTATTGCAAATCGTATGTTTAATAATGTAGGCCTAATTGTCTACTACCAATGCTAAAAATCACACTAAGTTGTAATAAAGCTCTCTACAAATTCACATACATTACGGTACCAATTTCAACGATATATTTAATGTTGGAACTTAATTAGATCCAAGCAACATTCTGGCTCAGAATATGAATGTCTATAGGTGAGTAATCCAACTACATTAACTTATTTACTAATTCATTGACAACATAAATTGAATGTCGTTTTGAATGGATTTCCTTGTTTAACAAACATTGTAATGGATCAGTAATTCACATACATTACGGTACCAATTTCAACGATATATTTAATATTGGAACTTAATTAGATCCAAGCAACATTCTGGCTCAGAATATGAATATCTATAGGTGAGTAATCCAACTACATTACCTTATTTACTAATTCATTGACAACATAAATTGAATGTCATTTTGAATGGATTTTCTTGTTTAACAAACATTGTAATGGATCAGTAATAAATGTATTAACAATAATTCAAGTTAAAGCTTTTGGAAGGTTTTCCCTAAAAAAGTTCTTTCCTAATGATACGAAATGTGCATAACACACACAGCAAAGAAATTCTATAATATGGATTTATAGCTGGTAATGTAAAAAAATAAACAATATTCATCAAATTCCAGGATCACAATGAAAAACATTTCTTTAAAATCATTGTGTCATCCTGGCTAAAGATATTAGTAGTAAATAAATAAATGTTAACTGTCAACATACTGAGTTGGGTTGTACAGGCAGTGGTGTCTACAGATAGAATACAAGAACATTCAACCATCTCTAACTGTGCTATTTATCTTTTATAAAGAAAACTGTAATAATGATGAATTAAAAGATAACATTGGTGGTATATCTTTGAAAATGAGTGAAATATTACTATAAAAAATGTTTCATGAGTAAAGTATTAGAATTTACAGATTTGTATTTTACAATGTGTCGTTTATATTATGCTGAAAATGAATATCTTTATTTAAAAGGAAACTTTTATCTGATGGATTATTTTTTATTCTATAATGTATACACAGATAGAATGGTTGACAATATATGAAAATATATTACATATAAATTATAACAATTATTATGTTAAAAACATTTAAAGGTGAACTGACCCCTTAGAGTGTAATTGTTTTTATTTAATAAAATGATGGTACATGTTATTCTTGATGTTTGTAGGTTTAAAATTTTGAGAAAAGAAAATTAGAAAACTAACAAAGAAAGTAATTAAGGTGAGTAAAATCCTCGTAAAAGAGAATTAGGCCTAATAATAAGGAAATGGCACGATACAATGATATTTTATACATAACATAATGTGATACGTATCTGATATGATATATGATGTTGTTATAGAGATTGCTGCAACTTATAAGTATTTAGGCATAACCAACGAAACTGGTCGGAACTATGGAAATCCATTAAAGGTAACAACTGATTGTATTTCCTGAGAAAGTTAAATGGTTTCTGCCTAGATAAGACTATACTTAAGTTGTTTTTCTCGTCCGTAATGTAAAGTGCAATGTTGTATGGTTGTTTAGTTTGGTTGAGTGTAATAAGGAAAGGGGACATACGAAAGTTACAAGTCATTATAACTAAGGCTTGTAAATTGTTTGATGGAATGGTTTGCATTGATGATG